TAATTAGTGGAAATACCTCTTTAAACAGTCTGGTTGGGATGGGATCTAGCAGACATGTGGATGGTTTGGATGAGGTTATTATTTTTGACAATTCAGAGCTCAATAGGACAAAAACTGTCCAAACATAAATCAGGCTCTAGTAAAATTTTTTAAGTTGCCTCATTTGACAGGGGACTAGAAATTGTAGAAGGAAGGATGGTTTGAATTTTCTCTCTAATTGAAATTATTTTATTTATAAAGAATCTCATGAAGTCATCACTACTTATAGTTGTAGGGATACATGGTTCAACAGAAATGGGACTTTTAATTAGTCTAGCAATAGTACTAAACAGAAACCTAGGGTTATTTTTATTCTCCTCTATTAAAGATGAGTAATATAAATTTCTAGCTTTACAGAGAGCTTTTTTATATGTTAGCAGACTATCTTTCCAAGTTAAATAAAATTTTTCAACATTAGTAGAGCGCCATTTTCTCTCCTGGTTTCTAGATGCCTGCTTTAAAGTACATAACTCAGAATTCTAAAAAAGTTAAATCTGGTCCTCTGGACATTCAAAAAAACAAAACAAAGCAAAACAACAAAAAAATATAGAAACGTTTCGTCTCTCATCCAAGAGACTTCCTCAGTCTGAGGTGCTGTATTCAGCTCAGTCTCTTAAATAGCACCTATTTATATATATATATATATATATATATATATATATATATATATATATACTGAGAGCAGCAGACCGCTGAAGCCATGGAGCTCAAATGTCCAACGTAAAACTAACTTTACCGCGGTTTAATGTGGTGCTATGACTCTGCAGACATTGCATGTTGCTGTCTTGCTTTGTGGTGTTTCTAGTGTAAAATACTTCCACACAGCGGACATGTTTCAATGAAAAGTTGGCTAGCTGTTAGCCACAGTGCTTCTAACTCAGTCCTCACGTTGTAGCTGGCTGCAAACTATGAAACAGATTTCCTGAATGTGAGGCGGGTCTTATTACTCTGGGCTCGTGAGACACGCCTCCGATCAGGAAATCCATTCCATAGTTTGAAGCCAACATGTATCATGGATCGGAAATCTCTGCAGGTTGGATCGAAAAATGGATCGGTCACATTGTCACCGATACCCAATCAAGAAGTTTTTCAGATATCGGTACTGATACCAATATTGATATCGGATCGGTGCATCTCTACCCTTATTGCAAGTGAGACAGGCTTTAGGCGAGCCGATTTTCCCTGTTGGCACGCACACAGCTGGATATCTCATTGACTTGGAAGTCTTGATGATGTGTCTATCTCTTCTGTCATTTGTGGATTTTAAGGAAGCATATATAATTGAATTTATGATAACTGGTTCCTGCTTTTTGGAGTCGTCTAGTTCCTGGTTTTCTACAGTCAAGGAAGTCATCGGCAGCAAGTTTGGACCCCATCAGGCTGCTTGCCGTATAATGGTTCGGTTCGTGCCTCGAGCACCCAGACTCAAATGCTTTTGGCAGGATGGATCAGATCTTGGGGATTATTCTCTGGCACGGTCCATTAATGTGTCCATTTAATTTGGACATTTCAGAACCGAGTGGACCGACACAGACTCAAGGTAGATGTCATTAAAGTTCTGCCTGTCCCCAAAACAATCGTGTTTATCTGAATTTGGCTCCCTGCCTGGCCTTGACAGGCCATCTGATCTAAACTCACCTGGAAGTTTTGTAAACCTGAAGCTCTGCCCCTCCCTCCCCTCCTACCGAGGAATTTCCATGGACTTTTCATAGGGTCCCAGCTGAATAAACATTCTGTCATCATTTCAGGACTCTTGGATTTGTCCTTGACCGTCCTCAACTCCCCCTGAGTGTGTACGGATCTCTCTAGAGGGAACTATTTAAGCTGAGTGATTTTATCTGAACTCTGCAGTGCCTCTGTGTGTTGTCTCTGACTGCTCACCATCCTTGTGTCCCTCCCACCCCCTGCGTAATGTTGGCGTCATTATGTGCTCGTGTGCGGGATTTTTTTTCATTATCACACTATTGACCTTCAACCAAAGGTTAAGAGTGCATTAGGAATTTTTTTTTTTTTGTCTCCAAAACTTGTGTGTCATTTTTCACCACTTTTTGTTGTCTGTCCAAACATGTCTCACTTGTAAATGAGTCTTCAAGGCTCAGTGTGACTTATCTGTTTAAATAAAGGTTGAATTGAATTGGATGACACACAATTGGCTGATTGAAGAATGTGCCGCACAACTGGCATGGAATTTTTATTTAAAACAAATTATTTTAAATCATTAAGCACCTCCTGCACCGTTGTGCAGCCTACACTGCAAGATTATATTCCTGCTACAGCTGATCAGCTGTTCTCCGTGCAGAGCGGAGAAGTGGGCGTGGCCGATACCGCTTGCGGGTGGCAGAACTCTGAAATCATGACATTATGTGCTCTTTTAGAGCATTTAGAGTTTATAAACATTGTTTAGAATTTGCAAGAGTTTGGGAAGGGCTTAAAACGCCTTAATATAAAAATACTAAAATAAACTACTACTTACTACTATTCCTACTTCACAGTTTTTCACTTATCGCAGGGCTTCAGGGTACAGATACCCTGCTATTAACGAGGGACTACTATACATCAATACATATGTAGTGGACTAGGCCCATGTCAAAAACTAAGTCTAAGGTCAAAAATCTTGACCTTAAGAGCCTTGTGGGACAGGTACTGTCATTTCATTGATTTGAACTCAGAGGTACAGGTTCACCCATCCTGAGACTTTCTTTCTTGAAGATTCAAGTGAAAAGAACACTCTCTTTTTATTATCATTACTATTTTACAAATGTTGATAATCAAAATGTCTTAGTTCAAACCATTTTAGATGTTGCAGTGAACTAATCAATTTTATTAACTGAGTAATGATTTTTATTCTCATGTCAAAGCTGTTACAGAATAATTATGCATTTTCTGATTTCTGCCTTTGAGTGAGCAAGTGTGCGTTTCCAAGGTTGGAGTCAAACGAAAAACAAGTTGTTGAACGAACTGTCATGTTTTTAGAATCCTCTCAGACGTAAATAGAGAAGTTTTGGCACCTGTTTCTGAAACGCGCCAAAACAAAACTCTCTCTGTCTGTGAGAACATTTCTGATCTGTTTCATAACAATTCTCGCTGTCTCTAACCTCTTACGTCACAAAACACACCCCGTCTGGTCGTTTCTGACCAATGAACAAATCCCAAAAGTGAACCGGGAAAGAGTCTTTAAAATGTCAGTACTTCCTGGTCTAGTCAGTTCTGATGGAGTGCTGTTGGAGTTCTGCTGGATACACAGTCCAACCAGTTCTGTTCATGTCTCTGCTCGGATGCTGTTTCTGCACAGTTCTGTTCTGAGAGTTCAGTTCTGTTGAAGCTCTGGAGAAGTTCTGTTCTGTTCAGTTCTGCTCAGTTCTGTGAGAGACGGGATGATCCTGACATGACAACAAGCTCTTCCGAGTTCCATGGGATTATAACACTTTCACCAGCCATTACTTCGGACGAGTAACAGCCAACCTACTGAGACGCTGAAAGGGTGCGTTAAACGGAATCTCACCTGAGACATCTCCAGGTAAAGGAGCCGATTTCATCACCTAAGTGTACTGTAAGGAAAAGCTGAAGAAAGCCGGAGAGTGTCGATTCTGGTGAACATTTCTCCCCTCACACACCATCTTACTCCCTCTAAACTTCTTTCCATCTTTAAACTTTTCTATCAAGTAGAAATTCTTCCAGATATTTTAGAAATGTCTGTGTAAAATGCTCACCCACATTCATGTGGGTAAAAGATCATAGTTGTACAGTTTTCATAAATGTCTGTGGTGAAGCAACGGAAAAATCATGGCCGTATGATTCTTCCTGATTGATTGCTTATGTTGTTATTTTCATAATTTGCCAAATTAATGTAAATGTTTGATGTTAAATTTTGATTCTGTAAATAAATGACCGCATTCATTTTGATGGGTCAAACATAAATGACGTCTCACGTTTGCATTTCCTTAAATTCAATGCACGTTTTATTCAGTCCAGAAAAATGAGGAATCCGCGTTAAATGATGAATATATCTGAGCATCTGTTCATCTACACATAGTATTATAGCAATAGGTCTTATAGCTATAGGTCAATAAATGGTAAATGGACTGTACTTATATAGCACCTTTCTATATTATCAAGACACTCAAAGCGCTTTACACGGCAATCTGTCATTATAGTCTTAAAGGCTTATTTCTATTGTGGTTGATGTTGTATTTAGCTGCATCTATGGGGGAATACTCCTCTTCTTCAGCACCTATTTCCTGTGGTGTACCTCAAGGAATAATTTTGGGCCCTATTCTTTTTCCTTTTTTAGGGGGATCAATATTCAGTAAGTATAACATTTTCTTTCATTGTTACACTTCTCAAGATATCATATTTTTCTCTTTTAAACTGGATGCCACTGGCCCACTGCAGAATTTATTTTATTTTTGGCCACAAACTGCTGCTTACACAGTTGCACAGTGAATGGAGGTGGCCCGGTTTGCTCCCTTAAAAAATACTTAAAGTCAAAACAGAAACAGAAGTTTATTGTTTTATTCCATTCCATGACCTTCATGGTGGTGGATGGTGCCTTTCGGAGAGTGGGGTTCCACCCCTTTTGATTAATGTTAGGGAGAAATACCGCTTATTTTATGCATTACATCTCATAATATAGGACAAGATTGTGGATAATGTTATTTTCAAGGTTTGACTAAAACAGCTACACCTGTCATTTCTCATCATAAAATAATCTTGATGTAAAGCTCTGGCATGAAAGGTGGTGAGTCATATGCATTCCTTTAAGCAATTAATAGCCTTTAATGTTTTAGAACATAACTGCTTTGAACCCATCCCCGCCCCCCGCACGTGCTCGCAACAACAAAGGCTGAAGCAAACATTGAACGTTAATGGTATTTCAATTCCAGGAGTAAAATGTTCAGCACAGCTTAGTTGAAACATGGTGTAAGTATATTACTGTATTGCATTGCATGCTGTCTTTGAAGGTTTTGCTGAAGGTTGTGGACCAGCATCGACAGAAGCAGTATGTTACACCACGAGTCTTGCAACAGTGTCTCAATTACTGCAACCAGGGAGTGTCCCACTCGTTGACCTGGAAGCAGCTGAAGCCACATATGCAGGTAGACTTCAACCAATTTATATATATTTTTTCATTTACCCTTTATTTATACAGGTAGTCTCATTGAGCCATGAGAACTCGTTTTCAAGAGAGACGTGTTTTAGGGATCAGATGGGGGTTAAGGGCCTTGCTCATGTGCCTATAGTGGGGCGAATGAAAGTGGGGGCAGGTGTGGGTGCTTCACCTACCCCACCCACATTTTTGATGTTGTCGGTACCGGGGTTTGAACCGGCGATCTTCCGATCACAGGCCCACCTTTAGCTTCTGCGCCACCACTCCCCCAAATGGTTGTATCTCATATGCTACAACTGTTAGAAGAAATGTCTCAAAATATTTATGAAGGTTCTCAGATTTCTTGCATGGATTGCAGAGTCTCTCATGTTCAAAAAAATTGTGCAACATTTTTCCCTCCAAATAGTCTAAGCATTTCCACAGCTTTTTAATTTAGTTTTCAATTCAATTCAAGTCAGTTTATTTATATAGCACCAAGTCACAACAGAAGTGAACAGAGACATTCATATATATAAAATTAATAAGCTAACAGAAACATTCATATATAAAAATAATAATTTAACACTATTTATCTGAGGAGCAGACTGCTTTGAATTTAATTCCATTGCAGAACTCTCATCTTGAGCAAGCATGAAGGCAACAGTGGAAAGGGAAAAACTCCCTCTTGAGGAAGAAACATTTAGCAGAACCAGGCTCAGGACAAGTCACCATCTGCTTTGACCGGCTGGGTTTGGTAGGAACAGATGCACAATGGCAGGTCAAGAATCACATGTTAAAATAGAAATGGTATCAAATGATAATTATTCAATTTTAGCAAATCATTTAAGGAAGTGAGGTCAGTTTGTCCTCTAGTAGTCTAAGCATAAGGCAGCATAACAAGCCAACCCTAATTATAGGATTTATCAAAAAGGAAAGTCTTAAGCCCAGTCTTAAAACTGGACCATGTGTCAGCCCTACGGACAGAAATTGGAAGTTCGTTCCACAAGAGAGGAACCGGATAACTGAAAGGTCTTCATCCCATTCTGCTTTTGGAAACTCTACGAAACGCGAGTAAGCCTGTAGTCTGAGAGCGAAATGCTCTGTTAGGAAAATATGGAACAATAAGATCTCTAATATAAGATGGAGCTAGGTTGTTAAGAGCTTTGTAGGTTAGAAGTAAGATTTTGAATTCTATTTTGGAATTGACAGGGAGCCAATGGAGAGATATGATCTCTCCTACTAACTCCAGTTAAGACTCTGGCAGCAGCATTTTGGATTAACTGAAGATGTTTTAAAGAAGTATTTGGACACCCAGATAACAAACCATTGCAATAGTCCAGTCTAGACGTGACAAATGCATGGACCAGATTTTCTGCATCATTTTTAGGTAAGATGTTTCTAATTTTAGTGATATTACGCAAGTGGAAGAAGGTGGGTCTAGTTAGGGCTGGGTACCTTTCTAAGAAAATCGGTATCGGTACCGGTGTCGGTACCTTCACTTCGGTACCTTCACTTTGGTGTCGGTTCCTGGACGGTTCTTTTTTTCGGTACCAGTTTTGTAATTACTATTAATTCTAACAAGAATAAAACAACGTTACACATTACAGTACAAATTGTGAGTTTTATTTTTTAACTTTGGTATTTTTCTATTCCAAGCAGTTTTCTTCCATAAAAACAAACAGATAATTTCCAGGTCAAAAGACCAGTTACAAACCAGTGACACGTCAGTGTCTAATGTTCACTGCTACACACTGAGGATCTTTTCACTTAACAGTTTTTCTTCAGAAAAATCAACATGTCTGCTTTCTCTGGACACAAACAAGCCCACTCCTGGCTGGTGGTGTCTCCAGCAGTAGAAAATGTTCACTCCGAGGCTGTAGATGATGATTGTTGCACACACAGGTACCTGGTTGTCAGTTTGATAGCACTGACATATTGTCCCTCACATTCCACCAGCAGGTCACTGGATTCAATGAGGTAGGGTTGATGCAAACATCTGCACCTCTGTGTCTCTGCCTGGATCTTCTCTGTGGTTCTCTGGGGTTTAGGGCTCTGATCATCTCCCTATAAATGACATTAGAACAAAACATCAACAATAACATGGTTGTGTTATTATTACTCAAAAAACATTATCTAGGCTGAGAGACAAAAGTTTAACTGGTCAACAAAATATTTTACAGCTTAACTTACCTACACTGTGCAGCTCCACTGTAGAAAAAGCAGCAAACTTTTAACAACAAAGTTTGTGACGGTCCTTTGGCACCCCCACCTCGCTTTTCTTTTGTCCTCCTCACATCTGGGTCAGAGGCTCCTGTGAGGAGAACATTAACATAAACAGTGAACATTAGGTGAACTGTTTAAGCAGCTGACTGGATGGATGAGCAGTTTTACAAGCTAAGATTTATGTTACTGTCAATCTTTAGTTAGCTTCTGAGTTTAGCTAGCCACGTAGATAAAATACATTTACACACTAATATCTTAAAGTTAGCGTTACATGGATCATAATTTATTTCACCACAATGTACGTGTTAAGCTGCAGTTACGTTAACAAACGTAAACTCACTAGCTGAAGCACACAGAGCCGTCCTCGGAGTTCTTTGATGAAGAGTCCGGTCGTGGAGATAATGAATCAGGATGTTCAGGCTCTACTCACAGGCTGACTTTAATGATGAAAGGAGGAGGGGGAGACTGCTGAACTTCTCTCTCCTTGCAGAAAAACACTGAGCAACTTTCTGCTCGCGTGTTGTTGAAGCCGCACACGTGAACCCGTCTGTGGGCGTCACCAGCACCATAGACATACATTACAGTATACATAGATTAGGTACGGCAGCTCTATAAAGCTCTGGGTGTAATCTGGGTGTAGTCTGTTTGTCATATGTCTGGTGTTTTACCTGCCTGCCTGCTGAAACCACGTGACACGTTATAGCCAATACCAAAACTTGACACCGAAAGAAGAGTGACGTTTCAATACATACACCGACCGGTGCAGTTCGGTCGGTGCCATAAAAGAACCTCGGTTCGGTACTCAGCCCTAGGCCTAGTACAGTTTTTAATGTGGGGTACAAAATACATGTCCTGATCAAAAATAACACCCAAGATTTTTAACATTAGAGCTGGAGGCCAGATTAATGCCGTCCAATGAGGGCGAAAGACTGAAAATTTTATTCCTAAAATGCTCAGGTCCATAAACTGAAACTTCAGTCTTGTCTGTAATCAAAAGCTGAAAATTTAGGTTCATCCAGGTTTTTATGTCTTTAAGACATGCTTATAGTCTATGTAACTGATTGGATTCATTGGGTTTCATGGACAAATATATATGTGTATCATCAGCATAACATTGAAAATTTATCTCATGCTGTTTAATAACATTACCTAATGGAAGCATTTACAAGGTAAATAGAATTGGTCCAAGCACTGAAACTTGAGGAACTCCATGACTAACTTTGGTGTATGAAATAGATTCATTATTTATATTTACAAATTCAAATCTATCATATAAATATGATTTAAACCAATTTAGAGCTGTTTCTTTAATTCCAATATCAAATTAATGTCTCTGTAGTAGATTCATTTGATATATAAATCAACAGAGATAAGTATCCTGATGCATGCTCAATAATCCAGGTAGAAAAAATCTAAAAAAGTTAAATCTGGTCCTCTGGACATTCAAAAAAAAAAAAGAACAAAAAAATTGTAGAAACGTTTCGTCTTTCATCCGAAAGACTTCCTCAGTCTGAGGTGCTGTATTCAGCTGAGTCTTATAAATAGCACTTTATAATAGTGGATCAACCAGTTTGCTGCTGACAGCCAAAACCAGCTGTTCACATAATCAAGGAGGACCATCTGCCTAATGATGGATCATTAGCACACTGATGGCTGTTTACTATTCACAGGGGGCTGAGTGATACTAGCAATAACAGCATTGTTAGAGGGGGACAGTTGAACACGGAGGCCTCCACCCCTGTTTAATGATGCAGGTTGAATCACAAGTGGTTCCTATAGGTTGCCCTCTTCTTTGCTGTTTTTTCAAACTCTCTAACAAGTTTGTGGCAATCTTGGCCAAAGTGATTCAAAATATCCTGATGCATGCTCAATAATCCAGGTAGAAAAAATCTAAAAAAGTTAAATCTGGTCCTCTTGCTAATGATCTATCGTTAGGCTGATGGTCCTCCTTGATTATGTGAGCAGCTGGTTTTGGCTGTCAGCAGCAATCCGGTTGATACACTGCGAGAAGTTGCTATTTATAAGACTGCTATTTATTATACAGCACCTCAGACTGAGGAAGTCTTTCGGATGAAAGACGAAACGTTTCTACAAAAAATTTTTTCTTGTCTGTCCAGAGGACCAGATTGAACTTTTTTACAACAGAGGTAGGGTTTTTCATTAGACCATCTTTGGTACTGAAAAGGAACCTAGGATTATTTTTATTCTCATCAATTAAAGATGAATAATATAAGGTTCTAGCTTTACGGAGCGCTTTTTTGTATGTTAGCAGACTATCTCTCCAGGATAAGTAAGATTCTTCAACGTTATTTGAGCACAACTTTCTTTCTAGCTTTCTACATGTCTGTTTTAAAGTATGTAACTCAGAGTGGACCATCACAGTGTCTCAGATTTATGAAACAAAAAGGATTGATGATCAGGGCACGAACTCTGTCAGCAGCTCCTTCCAGACTACGAGGAAACTTTGTTCCACTTTTCACTCAAGCATGGACAGCGGAATATTCCATCTAAAAAAATTTTTACCAGCCATGTTAAAGGCATTGTTCAGAAATAAATAAATAAATTACCTTACTGTATGTAGCCTATTTTGTGTATGGCTCTGGTACATATTCTTCTGTGGTTGACTGACGGTCACATGGCCTCAGGGAGGAATTATGGGTAAAATTTATCAGTATGTTCATTTTTAATCATTTTGGTTACCATAGGTATTTAGCATTGGTATTTTTAGTGATTTTAATCACTAAAAATACTTTAATCATTTAATTGATTTTTAGTGGCTGTTCTTCT